GTTTGCTCCTTGCCATAATTTGCTAAGCCTTATCAAATTTCACACATGCAGAATGTGAAACAAAATATTATTTTTTAGGTTATACATATGCATTTTGAAATAAAAAAGATCATATATTACTATATCAATACCACAGAATTCCACTGTAATTTAACAGAATTTGTAACTAAGCTGCATTTGGGTCTAAAAAAATATGACTTTCGAGCTTACCTTACCACTTGGAACCTACCATGGAAAGTTATAATTTTCCTATACTGAAAATGTATTTCTGATAGATACTTCCTTCCACTCACAAGAATGGCTATTCTCGTTTATTGCTGCCCTCTATATGACAAATATTTTATTATGCATGCCACAAGCCTTTCGCACCCCCTATTAGAATCAAATGATTGCAATGTGTGTCTCATGCAAACCATCATGCATCACATAACCACTAATGTGATGCATGTGACTCCATAAATGTGCTTCTACCAAGTTATCACCTCAAAGTTTGGCAGATGACATAAGCACCAGAAGTGAGTGGGGAAGAAAGGTGGGAAGTGCAAGTGGAGGGAAGTACTTATTGGAAAGAAATTTTCAGTAAAGGAAAAATATAACTTCCGATATAGTACTTTCCTCTTCTCACAAGATTAACTAGAATCCCACATTTATTAGGAGGAGGGACCAGTGTGAGGGAATAACAGACGTACCCCTGAAAGCTTTCGAAGGATACCCCTGTAGATGAAAGAAATGCAAAGATCTGGAGAGGGGAACCACACCACTTCTGATCCAGGTATACTCTTTGCCCAGTTGAGGAATGTGTAAAAATTAGGGCAGAAAATGAGAGGAGTACATCCGAGTGGGAGAGAAAGGAAAGTGATTCTAACCTGAGAAAGATATAATAACTCAATCCTACAATAAGAAAATGGGTAAATTAACATGTGTCCCATGGTGTAAAGTGGCTAGGGCATGGCAGACTGTACTTGGCAAGTCAACTACATCCAAAACCTCCTTGTGGGGTACTGACATCCGCATGAGGGTAGGATGAGGACCATACCATCTTCACCTCAAACCCAAGAACTGATGAAATCAGAACTATTCTGATTCCTGGGTATTACACAGGATGTGCTCTGAGTTACCAATCCAGGAATGTGACATCCGGTATCAAAAAGAAGTCTATCGCATGCAATCAACTCTCGTGGCCATGAAACAGGCTGGGACCATACAAAGGGCAATAATATCCATGTAAGAAGAGAGTACAAGGGAGAGCCAATGATAGAACCAGAAGAGTCCCACATATCTCAACTGTGACCCACAATGCAGAAGGAGGAATCGAAGGAGGAAAATAGACAACCTGTGCAAAGACTTATGTTCACTCAAAAACCAAACCAGACAAACAGCTGTTGGTCGACATATGGACAGTCCGCACTATGAAATGCAAGGGCCGGCTGATCCAAAGCCCATGGAGAACGAGGCATACTAACACCATTTCCCAACAGAGAGGCGAACTGGTTAGCATAAACCCAAATGTCAGGGGGCAGGAGAAACACCAAATAAAGTTGGGAAGTATGTTCATGCAATAACAAATAACCAAGGAAACAGGCCATAAGATATAGGAGAAAGGAATAAAACATCACATACCAGAAAAATTAAGTCCCCAAAAACCATGGACGGCTGACCAGAATCCTCAGGGAGGGTATGGAAAGGCCCAGCAAAATCAGGAGGTGGAAACAGGTGATCAAAGTACTCATCAATCTGACCAGGTTCCACAGGTTCAGGAGGAAGAGGGGAAATGTCTGGAGATAAAGGTTGACACATATAACATTCAATCTCCCTGTAAATAAACATAGACAAATCTCCTGTTGGGTCACCAGCACCTTAAGCCTGTGGTATAGCGCCTGTTGTTTATGTGTGAAATCCGAAGTGATGACATTAACTTTGGAATCCATGGTGATGTAGTCGGGAAAATCGTTTGAAGTAAATAATAAATGTGACTGGAATATAGATAAGTGAATTGAAATAATGACAAAAAAAAACACTGAGTAGTTTAAATTAAATTAAACCACTTTGAGAAAATATGATCTCAAACACGAAACCAGCTGAAAAAAAGAAAGCCGTTCGAGTGCAACTGCTGCCAAATGATAAATGATAGTTTGGTAGAGGCTCAGAGAGGGAGTCACATGCGTCATGTGAGTGTACTATGATCCTATTGGTGGATAGGTGTTGCATGATGATTTGCATGAGAGACACGTTGAAATAATTTTATTCCAATATTGGGGTGCAGAAGGGATCTGGCATGCATAATAAAAACTTTGCATATAGAGGGCAGCAATAAACGAGAATAGCTAATCTTGTGAGCGGAGGGAAGTACCGTATCAGAAGAAGAGGTTCCCATGTAAATACTTTGCAGAAACTCAGAAAACCATGGGGGGAGGCATTCCGAGCTTTCAATTGGTTATTCACATGTCATACAAGACCTAGAGAAGAAACTTTAGGCTTAGATAACTATAAGTGCAAAACTGCATGATTCCAAAGCTGCATTTAAGCTTCATAATGTTTGCAATGTGATGTTCTTCAGGCATGAGAAAACTGAATGTTGCACAAGCCAGACAATAAACCTAAGCTACGTGAAAAAGTAAACAGAAGAAAGTGTGAAAAATGCAAAATCCTATCTTGAAAACATATTAATTACTGAAAGAAAAAAAGTTAAGTTCATTTTATTTCCTAATTTTCAAAATTTCATTTCAGTTTCACAGTACATTAATGACCTAACTACAGTTAGTGTTATGTAGAGAAAATAACAGATAAAATACAAACTTTTACCTTAAAAATGTTTTGGCATTCATTTAGTTGGTTCTAGAGATTATACAAATTAAATAAGAAAACTGTAAGATAAAAATAAGCATTTCTATTTTTAGCAATAAAAATTAATTTGCATTTATACCAGTCAGAGCCTGAGTCATAACTGACTCCATAAATGCACAGAAAATGTTTTAGTAAAAATACTTTATAACAAATACAATTTTTTGTGTACGACAGACTTGTAATGTTTATTAAAAGTAAAGACCTTGCCAAATTTCATGAAAGTACACTTAGTTAATTTGTAGTTATAGTAAACATTGCTCAGTATAGCCTAACAGGAACAAGACTTGGTGTTAAATACCCTCACCATCTCAAAAGAGTGTAAGGAGTAATCAGTGTTTCTCTTTATAAATCTTAGTAATCTAACTCTCCATCATTATTTATTTGGTTTTTGGTTCATTTTATCTGTAAAGAGACAAAAAGTAAAACATTCTGTAGTTACACTGTCACTTGGTAATGAGTATTGCTCACATATAACATATACACACCCATTATACTGCACATAAATAGCATTCTTTATGGACTTTTGGTCACTAAGAAATAAAACTGAAAGAAAATCCTTTATATTTGCAGTAGATAAAAAGTCATATATCTAACATGGAATCTGTAAGAATGTTTCAACATTCTGCAGCTTAAAAATAATTTTAATTACTACTTGTAGGTCTAAAAAATAACTCTTTACCATTTAATGCCAGTTGGCAGTCACATATTGCATTATGTGCCTTGTCTATTATACTTGTCTTCAATTTGCAAAGACAATAATTTTCCTATACTGAAAATGTTTTTTCTATAGATACTTACCTCCCTCACAAATATAGCTATTCTCACTCAGTGCTGCCCTCTATATTTAAATATTTTTTCCCAAGCCACAATCCTTCTACATACCCCATGATAAATGTGGTTCAACTGCATCTCGCATGTAAATCATCATGCGACATCCCTCCACGAATAAGAGTACAACACACACTCCTCATGCATGTGACTCTCTATTTGATTCTACTGAACTATAACTTATAGTTCAGGCAGAAAATTGAAGCACCAATTTTTAGTGGGGAGGGATGGTGGGAAGTGTGGGTGGAGGAAAATAACTATCACAAATAGATTTTCAATATAGGAAAATTATAAATTCCAATACGGAACATTACCTCCATTCACAGATCTAGCTAAAATCCACACTGAATAAGTGGAGGGACCGGTGTGAGGGAAAGAAAGGAGCATTCTTCGAAAGCATCTGCAAAACACCCTAAAAGAGGAGATCTTCACAGTAGAGGATCATACATGGGAGACCCCACCACTTCTGTACCTGGTATACTCTCTGCCCAGTGTGGAAAGAGGCATTGCGAACATGGATGGAAAATGGATGATGCACATCCAAACAGGAGAAAACAATGGTTGGAAGGGATCCAAACCACCTGATATCAGAATCTCAATCCCTTTGTTGACAGTAATGTGAGTAAGAGTGTAAAGAATGTGCCCCATGGTGTAGAGTGGCTAAGGCTCAACAGGCTATACATGGCAATTCAACTACAATCCAAAACCTAGCCACCTGGAACCAACATTCATGTGGGAGTAGGAAAGAGAATCATACTAACAGCAAGCTAACTGCAGTCCAAAACCCAGGCATCTGGTGGGGGTAGAAAAAGAGGATCATATTGTCTTCAGCTCATGTTCAGCAGCCCGGAGGGAGATATCATAACCACTAATCTGTGAACAGGGCACATGATAACAAAGTGAAAAAATGTGGTAGTAATTTTGGAACCCAACATCCAGTCGATCGGAAATACAAAAGCTGTCCCTGTATTGTGAATTATCCCACTCAAAACCAATCACACAGGAACCCCAACCAGTGCAGTAACATCATTGGTATATGAAAATCTTCAAGGGATGGTGCAAGAGGAAGAACCATAGCAACCTGCATGTTCATCCACTATGACCCACAACATGGGAGCATTGTACATGAGTCCAATTAAGTGAAGGAACAGACACACCTGTAATACATGTGTGAAGACTTATGTTGATTGGTACGGCTCTGAATCCAAAACTCAACCACTGGGAACCAACATCCATGTGGGGTAGGATGAGGGATCTCAATCGAAGGGGTGAACTGCAATTTTGACAGCTCACTCCAAAGCTAAAACACCCTCCTCAGATAAACCCATTCAGAGATGAAGCTTCAGATTGGAGGATGTTTTGTCATCTACACCAGCAGAACACCACAGAGTGGGATCCTTAAAGAAAAAAAGAACATGCCCCAAGTGGAAAACGATAACCTGACAAGGAAGAAACAGCTATCTGATGCAGATGATGAGAGATGAATGAAGAATTGAAGAATTTCCTCCAATGGATGATGGAGATGAGACACCAGAAAAAAGGGTAAGGTGTCTAATCTGGTGAGAAGACACCTGGAACAAATTATGAAAAGAAGGAGACAAGGAAAAATAAGCCAATCAATTTTAAAATTCAAACCCATTTGGTAAGGGTAGAAGGAGAAAGGTCACGAACAGAGGACAGTTGCCACTGAATAAAAAGGCAGGAATGGGCACCATAGAAGGAAGCCGTGCATGTATGGGGCATAGCAGTCTATCCAGATCAGACAAAAAATATAGGTGGGAAATGGAAGGAAGGGAAATTGGCAAGAAGGAGGAATTACCCTCACAAGCCACTGAAGTTTTGGAAGGGAAAGAGCAATCCGGATATAGGAGAATATATGTGGAATGATACAGGGTATGAGAAAGACGATGTCAAATCCAAATAACGACATCCACAGGCCAAGAGGAGAAGGAAATAAGTCTTAAGCAATAAGTGAAAAATCAAACACGAGGACAGAGGTAAAGTAATGCAGTGAAGAACTACACTGACATCTCAATCCAGAAAGACTGCGTGTCAAGGTGGTCAACTTATCTGGAAGGAACACAACAATAGTGAGAGGGTAGGAGAGGTAAAAACTTTATGGTACAGGGAAAAATGAAAATTGTGGGATAAAGCAGCTTGATAACCCACAATCGAGGAGACCAAAGTCCGTTGGTCAAACAGCCAAGTGAAGAAATCCATAAGAAGATGACCAGTGGGTCGAGCAGGTGAAAACTCCCGACCCAAAAATCAAAGGAGGAAAACTTTGCAATTACATTGATAAACATTCCTAGAGGTAGGAACTGGTAAGGGCTGGAACGGAAAACAGTAATAAAGGATTGTCTAGAATGAAGGACCAAACACAACAGTATTAGAATAAAGAAATAAAAAAAACTGAAAAAAAATGTTTGCGAACTTTTGTAAAAATGAGAATATCAATTCCACTTTGGAATAAAGGACAAAACAGTTCAATGAAAATTTCAAAAAATTCACTAAGTTTGAAAAAAAAAAACAATGATTGAAAAGCACAATATGAAAAACATCTTGACAGGAGCATTGCCAAATGAGAAGTGATAGTTTGGTAAAATTGAATAGAGGAAATCATGTGTCAGGAGGGTGTGTCACTCTCCTATTGGTGGAGGGTTGTCAAATGGTGATTTACATGCAAGATGCAGTTGAATCACATTAATCTTGAGGAACTGGAAGCTCAAGGCTTGTGGCATGTGAAAAATGTTTTGCATATAGAGGACAGCACTGAATGAGAATAACTATATCTGTGAAAAGGGTAGGTACCGTATCAGAAAACACATCTTTCACCTTTTAATTCAACAACAATTTACAAACATAAGCAGCACCTTTTTTTTAAGACCTGGATATAAATACCAGATCCTGAGATGACTGAAATAATTATTAAAGATTTTTATGTTATTTGCCTCTGCTATGCCAATGTCTCAAAAGAGACATTGTTATTCATATAAAATTAAATAAAAATTGCATTACAAACTTATTTTGAAATACCTTCTATTTTAATATAGTAGTCAGTCATTATAACATTTGTATTTACTTTAGTGAACCCATCATATAAAATGTATAAAATTGTACATTAGATAGGTAGTTAGTTAAATAAGACATTTCAAATTACTCTTGGTCAATGTAGACTCTGTCAGAATTGTGCTTTAAAGCTACTCATTTAATAATTCTATTTTACTGTTATCATATATTGAAATACTGAACTATCTACTAGGCAAAAAACTTTGTGGTACAACTGATATTGCTAAATAGCATGTTGAACAACTAGCAAAAAAAAGTTTATTCTCATAAAATTATCTATATATACATATATGAGATATGACAAAGGTAACACTAAGAGAGGAGGTGTTTCTCCCTTGTAAAAAACATTTGGGTCTAAAGTTAGGTCTATAGTTACTACTAAGAATAAAGCAAGAAAACACAGATGACTGCAAGTAAATGTCACATTGACAATGAAGCTAACTGAGGCTTCTGGTGATGTTATTGCACTGTGCACATTGTTACCACATATGTTAATCATAATGTGGTCTATTTAAAGTTTCCAGGATCCTTCAGGAGTTTTTAATAATATTTCAGGATATTCCAGGAAAGGATTATTTCCAGGAAGCATGAGAATTTACAAGCTAAGATTGATTTTTGAGATTAATAGATGTGTATACTTACTATAACTATGAAATTAAATAATACTCTGAATTGCTACATAATGATTATAAAATATAAAAAACTTATGTGATTTTCAAGAGTTGTATTTTAATTTTTGGGTATAGATAAAATAAAACCATAAAACAGTAAATCCATCAACTAAAACCATTAAATCTTTATTATTTATTTCTGGAGTATTTATGAAAGAAATATAGAAATTAGTACAGACAGAATTAATCTAGCAAAGAACAATGTTCTATGATACGTACATGATCACAGTGCCTTTGACTCCACCTTTGCTAGGCTGCATAATTCGATTAAGTAGACTATGACGTAGATCCTCAGGATCCAATCCCATCAGGGAAGCTGCTGTCTGGAGGGAGGTTTCACCTAGTTTGGTCACTTTACACCCACCACTAGTATCATCAGGAGAATCCTCAAAGGTTACATTTCCCAGGTGAAGAACTGCTGCTACAACTGTGTAAATGGCTAGTTTCTGTTGATCATTTAAGCCTAAAAGATTTGTAATGCAATAATTGTTACTTAAAAAACCTGTTTGATATGACTGGGTTTTACCATTGCAAATGAGCATACAAACTAAATAGTAGTACACAAGTTACTTTATTATACGGCAGTATCTTAACTGATCCAATAAAATCCACTACCTTAATCATTACAAAAACTTAATTTTATGGTTTTTCTAGAAGACTTTATTTCATCATTATTCAATCATTCTAAACAATTTAAACACACACTGTTAACTTTCTTATGTTAATTTCTTATAGTCATCATTACTGATCAATAGATTCTGAACCTTAACTAAATGAAAAGGTTATTATATTTTTAAAAACTAAATTCTCTGTTTGATGCCTTAGGGATCATTCATATCCTTTACCGAAGACATGTTTCAATTAATACCTAAGATAGTACTGGTCAGAACATCTTTTGCTGACAAAGTATGATTATAATCAATTACATTGCTCATAAGACAATAGCATTAGGTTAATATACTATTATACACTCTTCTCAGAAAAGCCCTTACTGACCGAACAAAGAATACAAAGTTTTAAAATAAAATAAATATATCAATATTGTCTTATGTCAAATATAATTACTTTTATCATGATTCTCCACTAAAAGGCATTTAAATCATAACAATTATATGAAATGTTATTTTAAAGTTCTTCTATAAGACTATAGATATTTTATCCCACCAAAATTTGAACTAATACCCTTGTATCACTGCATAATCACACAACCATTCCAATTCAACAGTACTTTCCAAAACCTTGAAACATATATTTTTCTAATATTAAAGTATTACTAGAAGTCTCACCAATATTGTGTAGAGCCTTATCAAGATGTTGGAAGTCTCTAACATCATCCACAATTGGATCTTTTAATGGACCTTTCTGTTGATGGGTTTTAGATTTTCTGTTAGCACTGAGGGACATTTCAGTAGCAGTAGAGGTGAAGTATTGAGTGCAGCTCCTTTTTAAGTACTAGAAGTAAATATTACATAATGAATTAACTCTCTCCACATGGATTCGGTCAATTTGACCGACCACATGACCTCTTTGTACTCATTTAGTCTTTCACATACAAAAAATCATATTTTTTAGTGAATAAACTAAAATAAAGATTTGTCCATGAATATATTGAGTATTTGTTTTGAATAATCCGTGTGCAAAGTGATTTTTATGTTAAGGTCAAAAATACTTTACTTCATCTCAAAAATCCCAAATTTCATTTGTGTAATCTCTAAAACTTCCTAAATACATTTCAAATTTTTGTTTTCATTAAAACTTTATATTTTATCTGTTATTTTCAATGTCCTAATTCTAAACAAGGTTGGTCAATTTGACTGACCCCCAAATCTAAATAAATCTAATTTACCCTCCTTTTCTTTATAGAATGACTTGAAAAGTAGCATGAAACTACATTCGTTATCCTAACTAGCTTTAAACTAGTAACAGTATACATCTATTTGTAATTAAATTTTATTGTTTTATTGCCCTTTGAACCATGTCTGACTACTATTCATGCCATTATAAGTTGTAAATCATTTGGGGAACATGCAGCTCACATTATGCTATTTAATTAAATTACCCACAAGCTACTCCGAGCTGCTTGTGTGCATGCCTCATGAAATGTTTTTATTATATTATTATCATTGTTTATTTTACCTAATCTAACCTTAACTAACCTAAAGAAATATCTATTTTTACATTTTAGTTACTTTTATAATAATAAATAAAGAATAAACATAAAAAACAAGAAATAAAGTACTTACCTGAGTAATCTTTTTTTTCTTTTTGCTCTCAACTATCAATGACAGTTAACCCTAATTTTTCTAAACTAGTGGTAGTAGAGCATTAAATAATTTTTGTTTTTAATTAAATAATGCATCAAAGAACATAGACTAATAACGTGCAAAAAGTAAACAATTTCCTCTAACAATCACAATTTTTTCTGGCTTTCTAACTATGCAACAAGAGCCATTACAAATGCATCCAAGCTAGCTGTTGTGATTCCCGTGGGAACCAAAGTTGAATTAGAAGTGAAAATGACTATTCTGTGTTCAGAACACAATGTTATATAACATGTCATTTGATTGATGAAAACCTTGACTTTCTACAGGTTATAGGTGATATATAATTAAATGTAAGAGAGAACTATTAACAAATCTTGAAAAAGAGGATGTGACAGGTGGGTGTGGCACAAGGGGTCTGATTTTCTATCTGACAGCTCTGTAACTAAACAGAATTAAAGGCTATAAAAATTATGGTTTGTCCGAAAAATGACGATTTTATTGCATGTAATCTACAATTAATTTTGTAATTTCTTGAGGGGTGAAGGTGGATAAAATAACAATGAGAGAGAGAGAAATTGTGTCATGTGAGTCACACAAGAGGAAATTCAGGATTTTTTTAAATATTGGCTTATAAAATTAAGAACTTAAAACTTATATACTATTAAAATATGGGATATTTGCTAAGATTTTATGCTATGCTAATTGGTATAACATAAACAAAAAGTACTTTAACAAAATTTGAATGTAAGACACTAAAACCTTGTGTCACGAGCAGTAAAGGATACCTGGGGTGAGGGGTTAAAGAACTTTGACTTTAATCAATTACTAAATGTAGAACTTGCTAAATGATTAGAAACAAACAGAACTTCATGAATTGAAAAAGAAACTCAAGCTAGTTTAACAGAACAGGTAAAATTTTTGGTATCCTGTAAATAAAAGTCTGCATGTTTTGATATATTAATATTTATAGTTATTAGCTTTTAAACATCCAGGTGTGTTGCTTCAAAGCACTTGTTACATGATTTGTTGTAGCACACTGAAAAACAAAACTGGATGACATTGTTTGAAAGGTAAGATTAACTTTCTACAGATCATGTACGTTCTGTAAAATACCTTATTTTTATATGTGATATTGGTATGAAACCACAGCTTTGAAATGTCAAAATCATTTGTTTTTTTTTTTTTTGTTAAGTACCACAAGTTTCAAAACCCAGTTTTTAGTATTACAAGCCTTGAGGCTTACTACTGAGCCACTGGGGGGCATATCAAAATGATTTTATCATGAATGTTTTTTTCTAAGAAACAATTAAAAAGACTTAACTTTGTTAGAGATTTCAAATACTAATTTTCATGTCTTCATACATTCTTGTATAGCTTTCCAATAAAGCTTTTTATTGTATAAATCTGTAAATTTTATCTTTGTTCTGACTTCAAGCAGTTTCACTGTGTTTATGGCCTTAAGAATACAGTAAAAATATCTTTTTTACCATATCAAAATCATGAGCAAATCAATCTTTTTCAACCCTCTATACCAACATATTTTACAAGTAGCAAATTCTACCTACAATCAAAAAATTCTAGCCAAATCAAAATATTGATAGCCATTACTCTCAGAAACACTAGACAAATTCAACATTAACATTTTCCTTACCTGAAAATGTATTTCCAATAGATACTCACCTCTGCAGATAGAATAGCTTGATCCCTCATGCAATTGCCTATGAGATTTTCATGCCACTAGTCTTGAGCTAACTCACACCTAAAAATCACGTGTTTAACATGAAGTACAATAGTTCATGATGACATCATCAGGTGAAAATAGCCCTCCACCAATGGGAGGATGACACAACCTCCTAACGAAGTAACTCTTCCCTAAGTACTTGTGCTTGAAATAACTTCATTCTTAGAAAAGGCAAGAAGAAATTGCACTGAATGTGGGGAGGACAGTTGGAAAGGTGTAAAGAGGTGAGTATCTAACAGAAATACATTTTCAGGTAAGGAAAATGTTAGCTTCTGAGACAATATCTCCACTTCCACACAGAAAATAGTTAGAAATGTCACACTGAAATGGTGGAGGGGCTGGTGTAAATATTAAACCTAAATGAGGTCCCTTCAAAAAGTACCCAAAGGGAAAGCCCATGGAGTGTGGCACCCAATGCCAGGGGCTCCATAGAGCCACACTTGTGACAGACCTCATCTCGTCTCAAACAGAGTAGAGAGAGAAAACAACAGAGCTCCAAGTGTCACAGGGATGGATGAAATTTTTGCATTGCCAACCAAGCACCCACATACAAATGATCGGCAATCCAAGAAGTGCAGTATGGTTAAGGCATGATCAGGCTGTACTGTGCATTTCTCACCTTGACTCAACTAGACCAACTGAGATGGGGTGACAAGCCAGTCCCACTGCAAAAGGAGGGCACACTAGTTGTTTCAGGAGTGACCCACACTATACAGACAGTGCTACCACCACACAACTTCCCACTGTATTGTGTTGTACACAATTGGTAAGGAACTCAAGGCCCACCATCCTAGCAGCTAAGAACTGGTAACTGGAAAGGGTCCCCCATGCTACACTTGAAGAAGGGGGTATAAAAGAAGTATTCAAGTTTGGAAAACCCAGAGATGTGGCTAGCTCCACATCAGATGCCTGCCAGAAAGTTCTTTTACTGGAGACATTGTAATGGGCAAGCATGAACCAATGAAGTGGACAATCATTTCCTTGGTGCTGGCTTTTTCTATGATAGTCTATGGAATGGTACAGTCTGGATCAAGCAAATGAGTAAGTTTAACACCACAAAAATATCTCTAGTGAGCCAAGGCAGATTGGTTGAACTCTTTCCATTACCCCTGGTTCAGTGCAGATTTGGGGAAATAAGCAGACTCAGAGAGGCAACACCAGCCATCTGGAGGAATCCTATAAGTGGGAAGAGGGTGACTGAAAAGAAAACGCACCTACCCTTCTCAAATACAGAGTGTAGATTAAAGAATAATGACCAGAGGGAGTCAAAATCCTGTAGCAGATGAAACAGCCAAATGACAAAAATAATGGGAGATGAACATGTGTGGAGAAGGGGGGAGGGGGAGATAGAAGAGAAAGAATGATCACCTTCTCGAGTAGTCAAAGTCTAGTGAAGAAAAGCCCAGTCTGGGTAGTGGAATAAATAAGTACAATGAAAGTGAGTTCAAGAAACATTGATGGCATATACATCCAAATGACAACCACAGGCAAGAAGGAAAAGGAACTATGTTTTTAGGGAAAGAAGGTATAAAGAACGAGAAGCCAAAAGCTCAGACAGCACATGAAACTCATGTGAAAACATGTAAAAATCCCGTTAAGATCTTAGTCAGGCAAAAGAGTTGGAGGATAGAATCAGAACAACCTGAATAGAAGAGGAAAAAAAAACACATGGTAGTAATGGAAAATGTGAAATGTAGTTGACAAATTCACCCGACAACAAATTATAGGAGACACTGACAATCCATAATCAAACAACCATGTAAAAAAAAAAGGCTGAGTAAGGAAGGGGAAGATGAACCAATGTTAAAAAACTCATCACTTCTGTTGATAAACGAACAAAGTTGAGGAACGATGGAATGGGATAAGGAGAAGGCTACATGATTGGAGAATCTTGTCTTGTGGATGATAGATTGAATATATCCCACACATGAAGATTAAGAGACAACACTCCTGGGTGAAAAAAAAACCAGAGGGGGAGAATTGGGCAAAGGAAGAAAGGGCCTGGATGCCATTTGACGATGTAGAGAAAACTAGGGTTGGGCAGGCAAAAGAGGCATCATCAACAGCACTCGATAAGGAGTGTCATGGGTCAAGGAAAGGACATGAGAGAGGAGACAATGAGGAGGATAGGCATACAGAAAACGATAAGACCAGTCCTGGCTGAGAACATCAACTGCCAGGGCCAACAGATGAGGAACTAGGAACCTGAAGAGGGGAAGTTTAGTGTTGAGAGGAGTTGCAAAGGTATCAATGAGGGGCATGCCCAACAAAGAGTAAGCCAAATGAAAAACCTGAGGGTGGAGAGACCACTCCATGGGTAGAATCTGGTCAAGCTGAGAGAGAGGTGATCTACCATCAGATTCAGAGCTCCTGGCATGTGACAAGTTATGAAATGTACTCAATGGGAATGAGCCCAAAATAACAGGTTGAAAATGTGGAAGCAAAGAGTCCTGCAATGGGTAACCCTCAATGATTGATATGATAAAACATGGATTTGGCAAAATGTATCAGGACTAAATAACCCACGAGAAGCAGAAGGAAAAGGGAACATGCCCAACGAACTGCAAGAAGTTTGAGTATTTTGATGCAAAGTGAACACTCCTTTGGCTCCCACATGCTGGAAGTCATGTTGTTGTTTAAAGATGCACACCAGTTTGTCAGAGAAGCATCTATGAAAAGATGAGGATCTGGTCAGAGGAGATGTCCACCTTGATACTGGCATAGTCAAGCCAACAAGACAAGTCCTCGAAAGGAGAAGAGAGGAGACACACTATCAAGAACAACAGATCCAAAGAAATGTTCCACTGGAAGAAGTATACAAGTGTGCAGCCTAAAGGAATGAGTGGTTCTAGTGAAGCTGGAGTTCCCAAAAACAAAAGAATCTCACACACAGGGTGTAAATTAAAAGTGCAAATCTTGGTCACAAGACATTCTGTTGCTCGCAGACATATAAGTGAAGGCTGAACCCAACTTAGATGAGAGTTGATGAACACGTCCAGATTCACCAAATATTGGGTAGGTATGAGAAGACTTGGAATGCTTGATTAGCCAACCTAGCCAAACAGCCTCCTGCAGAAGAATAGAGGCACGGAGAAGGAGTCCTTTTGAGAAGGGAATGAGAAAAAGCCAATTGTTCATGCAATACTGGATCCTCAGCCACAATCCATGAATATGGCAGACAAATGTCCTCATGACTCAATTGAAGACATAAAGAGTAGACACGATGCCAAAGGGAAGAGCATGGAACTGGAAGAGTTGATTCTGTTAAATGACCTTTGTTATCCACAAGTGAAAAGGACCACTGGAGAGAAAAGAAATCCTCCATTTGAAACTGTGGGATGACAAGAAACAGATTAGAGACCATAAAGAGATGTGAGTAATATATCAGAGTAGGGGTAAATACTGTTTCAATGGTATTCTTGGTCAAGAGCTCCAAGACCATATCTTCAAGACACTGAAGGTAAACATGGTTGGAAAGAGGAAGAAGGAAAAACAGGAGAGAGAGGGGAGGAAGAGAAGTGTAGAGATAGGCCATAGGAGACTGAAAGCTAGTGAAATGATACAGATGGGTGCCTACTGAGCTAGACCCAACAGAACAGTCACTGATAAGACAAGCAACAACCCTGATCTTGTGAAGTTGGAGGACAAGAAGAAAAATAGGAAGGTGAGATGTGGATTGAGCAGGCTAGGAATGGGAACAGAAGGGTGAGCTTGAGAAAGACGATTAACCAAAGACAATGAGGACTGAAGCTGGGCCAACTCAGGAACCTGACAAAGACTGTGGAAATAAAAGTGAGCCAGACAACACTATTCAGGAAAGCAACCCAACCCAACAGCAGAGGAACTAAATAAGGAGGGATAAAGTAGTAGTAGTATTATGGGCTAATGTTGGGAAAAGAAGAAAACAAACCTCTCCAGAAGAACATTCGGGAGCACGTTGAAATGCCTCAGAAATAAGGTGAAGGAATGAGAGGTAATATACAAGGGTGTTAAGAAAGAGACATAATTGTGAAAATTGGGCACTAGAAAGTAAAAGAAAAGTTAAGAGGTCCACCCTTCAAACAGTTAAAAGAGATTCAAAAGAGTGAGAATAAAGAAAAGAAATTAAGAATGGCTGTAAGCTAGGACAAAAAAAAGTGAAATAGGTGAGGAGGACAAAGCATTTGATACGAGTGTGCAGTTGTTCAAAAAACGAGTTCACACATACCCAAATATCAGGGAAGGAGGGATAACAAAGTAATCTTGAGTCTGGGTTTTGTGTAGTACAGAATGGGAGGAATCAAAAGACACTGAAGAAAAGAAGAACATATCACCAAAAGCATGTCACAAAAGAAATTAGAAGGGTGAAGATTTTCCTGCATTGATAAAGAAGCACCTAGAACAAATCCCGGTAGGGGAAATAGCCAATCAAAATCATCATCATCATCCTCATATTCAAACAGAGAAGAAGGAACATCAGCTGAATGGATGGATGGATGGAAGGAGGTTCTGTAGGCATAAAACAATGTTACTAACATGAAACCTATGGCTACTGGTGGCCTGTTATCTGTGGGGAATATCACAGCCATTGTTCAATGTGTTGTGGGTTTCCAATGTCACAGAACAAAGTAGAAATTACCATCACTTGAGAATTCATAATGGATAAGCAGGAAAAAAAAATTCTTGTTCTTTAATAAATAAATAAATAAACTATTACAAATCTCATGTAATTAATCAATAGTTTTAAACACATCCATTCGATAAAATGCTGAAGGAAAGAAGGAAGTTTTTGGGGAAGTTACTCCACAAGGAGACTGTGTCACCCTCCTACTGGTGGAGAGCTATTGTCGCATGATGCTGTCATATTTCACTAGTGCAGTTCACATTAAACACATTTTTTAGGTGCGAGTTAGCTCAAGGCCACACTGTGTGCAAATCTCATAGGCAGATATATGAGGAATCAAGCTATTATGTGTGTGGAGCTGAGGTATCGTCTTGGAATCAAATTTTCAAACTTGTTTAATCAAGGAAGTTACATCACACACGACACATGTTATTTGAACTTTAATGGAGAAATAGGAAAGTGTTAATGATGTTAATTTGTTATAAACACTGATGTGAATTATATAGCACTTTGTCAGTCAGAAAGCTGTCCTAAGAAGTTATACTTTTGCAAGGTTACTTTCCACATGCCTACAAATATAACCAATGCGATGGGCCAAAAAAAAGAGAATCTATTATTGGTTTGCTATACTTGCAAAGTTTGAACATTACAACTCATTTAACTTCAGTGGATTCACATCGGACATTAATAATTTTACGAAAACATTACCTAACATCATCGGTGGAAATTCAATCTCTAATAGGCATATGAACAGTGAAGAATACAAGGATAGCTAGCTCCCTACTAAGTGAATTGTACCTATATCAACTCGCTCATCGTGAACCCTTGATAAGATATCTAGGAAGTTCCAGACTAGAAAGACTTTATATTGCTTGTAAGTTTGTGAAACTTTTGTTTATAAATCATTGTTTGTCATTACTATTTGTAATAACTGTTATTGTTAATTGTATTGTTGTTTGTATATTAAAACGTATTTGTGTTAAAAAAGAAAACTGTGTATCAATCTTGTTAGCAAATATCATAAACTGACTATTTATCGGCTTTTACTTAACTGCTAAATCCAAAGTACAATTTAATTACTAAATTTAAATTTATCAGTTAACTCAATTTCAGGCCATTTGGAATTCTAATATGTAACAGGTCCTCCATTGTATCCACAGCCAGGCAGATCCTGCTGAACTTTTAACTCAGTTTATATATATATATATATATAATATTTGCAGAGATAATTTCATTATTTTCTTTTCTTTCCAAGTCTTATATTCAATTTACTAGTAATATCTACTTATTGAATGTATGATTTATTAGGAATATAAAT